ATAGACTGAAATACTGAGATTAACAGCTGAAAGATTAGAGACTTAACTAGAATTAAATAGCTCTGATATTATTCTTAGTAAGAATCTCACTTATAAGTAAGCTAGTTACAGAAGCTAGCTGAGCAGCAGCTCTTTAGAGAGAATGATAATCTCTGAAGTGAGTCTGAGAGAATAGAGACAGTGATCAATTATATAGAGTATTAAAATATATATATAGCTTAAGATATAAACTGCAGAGATCTTATTCTGTAGCTCTCTTTACTGTACTTATTTCTTTCTGTTCTTTTCTATCTATCTATTTAATGTGTCTGTCTTTAAGACTATATTCTCTTTTTCTTTGTCATGATATTTTTAAATAATTTCAAAGTATCAGAAGGTGTTGAAATACTGTAATTTATAAACAGTTTTTATATTCTGAGCTGAAATTTTCTGATTTTATATATCTGAAATTGATAAATGTATAATAGTTGACTCTATAGATATAGGAAAAACTCTGAGAACTAAAGGTTCTCAGATAGATGTTATAGTCTCTGACTGCATACATCTATAATTAAAGAATAATAATAATAATAATAATAATAATCTGATTTCATACATTTCTTGGCGTGAATTCTGCTGAGACTAGTCATTAAAAAAATATGTAAAGTGACTATATATCAGCTCTTAAAATGAAACCATGACTTGAAAAAAATGAGAAAGTGATCTCATTTGATTTCATTTAGTTTCATTCTTGACATAAAGTTACTATTTTTAGACATTTTAAGGTTTTTTTTAGACTATTTTTAATTTTTTGAAAAGTAACACTTTTTGATAATGCTCAAATGAGATTTAAAGTGATTTAAAGCAATAAAAATAATTTAAATTGAGAAGTGAAAATTATGATTTCATTTGAAAAATGTGATAAGAGTAGACAGTAAGTCTCACTGCGACAGTATGAGACTACTATCTAATGTTAAAACTGTGTAATGAAATCTGTTGAATTGATAATAAGACTATCAAAAAATCTAGTTCTGATCTCAGACACAGTCACACAGTCAGTCTAAGCTTGTGTGATTGAAAGATTGCTAGCTTGTGAAAAGTTATATGATGAAAGAATTAGTAAGCCAGATCACGTGACCTGACAATAATAACATAGACCGCTGTCTATCATAGCTTTTATATTATACATGTTATTAATTACAGTAGATACAAGAATCACATTCATTATTATTTTCTCTTCAAATTATTATTATCTGATCTCTTCAAGCTTTTGTTTGTGAATTTGAACAGAAGCTAATCTTTTCCCTGTTTCATTGAGACATTTTCATAGTTATCTTTCAAATTCTTCTCTAATGTAACATGGTTGACACAGACAGGCACTGGTTCATTCTTTAAGTGAGAAGATATATAGACTGATTAACAGTTGAAAGCAATGTACTCTGATCAGTTACAGTTGATGTAAACTTCTCATTGACATTGATCAGTGACTTCTTCAGAAGTGATTTCAGAGACTCAGAAGTCTATTCAGATAGCAGAGACTCTTACTTATGTGTAGATATTCAAGTCTACTCAATTCATAGCATCTGCATCATTATTATTCTTCAGTGTGAGTGTATAAGTGACTGAGTTATTTCTCAGTATAGATGTATAAATATAACATCTTCTATCACTGTTCTGTATACTCTTAAGCTTGATAAGACAGTTATTCAATGTTCAGAGTTACACATAGAAATCTTCATAAGTCTGATCTTCATCTACACTTACAAGAGTCTGTAAGAGTTTGAAAGTTAATGTTTTCTTAAGTATACTAATCTTTATTTGATTCTTTTAAGATTGATCACCTGCTTCTAAGATTTGAATTTCAAAGTCAGAAATGAATATTATAAGAGAAGTGTTTCTCTGTCAGATACTCTGTAATTAATCTAATACTTTCTATTATATAACAGTGTCTCAGAACAGAATATCAAGATATTTAATAATATCATCAGATATTTGTAATGCTGATTCCCATGCTTTCATTCATGAATAAAACTTTTATTTTACACAATTCTTCAATTGTTTATTGATATATCAATCTTGATTAATTAATGAACTGATGACATCTTCATCTACACTCAGTTTCACAAGCATTTCTATTCTTTATAATGAGTAGAGAGTGAGATCAGAAGTATTAAAATATGCAGAAGCATTTAAGTATTCTTTCAGTACTTTTATATTTAATTCTGTAGATATTGAAATTGCATGAGTTTCTTGTTATAATAATGATTAAATCTCTTCATATTAACATTGTTAAGTTGTATGCATATCAGCTATTTATTATTGTTATAATTTCAACATTGCTCAGAGTCACTGTAATATTATATCTATACTTGCATTTGAGAGTTCTCTTATATTATTATTAGATATAGTTATATTAATCATTGAATGTGTAATTGTATGAATATCTTATATATCTGAAGTATCAGAACTCTTAGATCTTTCACTGACATTCTCTTGTAAAATCTTATTACAGAGTTAGAGTAACTGATGAGTAAGCTTTTATTTAAAAACTCAGTATTCACTTAACTGTTTCTCTTTCTTATATATTGTTATATGTTCAGATATCTCTTGATGAAAAATCATTTCTAATGAGAAGATAATATGTGAATAATCATTTCTAATAAGAAGATAATGAACATTTTTCTAGTATAAGAGACCTAAACTGAATAGATCAGTATGATATTAATAGATCTTATATAATAAAGAGAAAAATATTAGAGAAGAAAAAGAAAGAGAAAGTGTGAGAATTAGTAATGAAAGTGAATATTTATATATGTATATAGTGATGTATGTGATGAGGCTTCAGAGTGAAAGAATCTATACACATTTGTAGTGACTGAGAATCAGTGATTGAGAATGGCTGAGAATTGAAGTGTATGTGTTCAAGAATGAAGTGATTGAAATCTGTGAAGTATAATAGAATAGTCTATATAATTGATCAGACACAGCCTGCTATACTATATAATGAAGATAACTTCTAATTTAGTAATCTTGAAAGCAGCAGAACTATACTCTTAAAGAGAAGAGTATTATCATACTCTCAGCTATATCAAGACCTCATTGCAGTTTTATATAACTCATTACTTTCATACAGATAATTTCATCTCATCTGAACTGATTTTCAATCACTCTATAATATTATTCAGATATATTATAGAAAGATCTGATTGATGAATATAAGAACTCTGCTTCTATACAAGATTAGCAGATTACTCTTTCTTAATAGTAAGACACTGCTGAGGTATCACTTCAGCTATTCTCACTTATGAAATAAGAGAAGAGTATTCATCTATTATCTATATAGAATAGCTAGATGCTGACTTCTCATTAAAGAAGTCAGTGATTCATTTTTCTTCTACTGAAATATATACAAGAGTTACTGTGTTTCTCATACAATCTTCTTAGTATACTAAGTATCATATCTGTGATATCCTCACAATAACCCTGTAGCCTACAAGCTCACTATTCAAGCAAGATAGTCAAGCTCACTCATACAGCTTCTCAAACAACTACTCCTACATAACACCGCTGACTAGCCACCGCTTCGGTTCTGTCACATTACAGTAGTGTCATGATGATGTTAGAAAGTTCTGCGCCGTCTCAACGCCATCTTGACGTTTAATATTCGGCGACACGTCGCCGAATAAGAAAAGTTGGTTTTTCTATAATATATAGAGAGAAGGGAGATAATAACAGTACAAAAACACAAAATAACTCATTTGACTCAAATGTCATTATAGGCTGCCGTAGTTACTGCGGTTAATAGATATCTACCTCTCAGCTTCGTTGTTCAGCACTGGGGTTGGTCTTGCTCCTAGCATTCAGGTAATGGTCTGTGAGGGATAAAGATGAAAGAAGCCTGCAGACGAATTATTGCAGATCCGAAGATCAAGAAAAGGGGTTGGCACAGTGTCTATTCACCATTAACTTCTGATAGGCTCGAGAGAGAAGAGAGAGAGGCGAAGAAACAAGAAATTCTGGATAAACTGACATGATTGACTCCTCTGAGTTGATTAGGATGTTTCAGTTGGGAGGCGTGTTTCGGAATCGGCAGGCAGAAGTTTCAGGGATTAGTTATCGATATAAATTACACCACTCGTGCATAAACTAGGACTTAAAAGATGCACCTATCATGAGTAGGTATACTCCCTATGTTTCCTTAGCAATATAATCTCGCTGAGCAGAGAGCATTGCCTATTTACTCTATCTACCATGTTGCAAGGTATTATTATACTTTGTAGTACGGAGTAACCCTCAGCAAGTATCCACAGATGTGCGCTGTCTCCGGAGTATTGACTGAAGACACGCTGAGGTGTAATATATGTGTAATCTTAATACCAGGGTTGACAGTAGTGCAAGAAAGCTTACGTAGGCAGTGCCCGAGCATTGGCGCCTCACGGGGCATGTGATTGGTGGAAGCATGGCTAGTTCCAACTAACAAAACAAGGCCTCACCGAGGTTCCTCCCAGGGGCCAGAGGACAGTGGACAGTGGACAGTGGGCAGCCCGCAGCGGGACCCGATCCGTACCATCCAAATCTGTAGCCAACCATGGACCATTGCCGAGTCTATCGCTAAAAAGTGGCTGACATAATCCCCCTGTTCTCCCGCTCTTCTTCTCCCCCTTGCTTCTTCTCCTTTGTTCAACGTCGCCCAACTTCCCATCTGCTGTCTCTTTTCCTCTTCTTCTTCCTCTTCTTCTTCCTTTTCTTCTTCCTTTTCTCGCTCATTCCTTCCAGTCTCTCGTTAGGACCCTATGTCCACCTGACTCCTTCTTTTTCTATCTCTAGCTCTTTTTGTTTCGCTCTTCTTCAATACTCTCTCTTGAATATCCCCCTTTTACCAACTGTAATATCCTTCACTCCCCATTGTCGCACACACACGCACTCGCGCGACTCGCATTTAACTCTAGCCCAACTTAGTTTTAACCTTTGTATAACTATTAATTACCTTACCTATTCGTTGTTGATTTCATCCTCCCGCCATGAAGTTCTCCTCCGTCATCGCGGGCGCCGCTCTTGCGGGTTCGGCCTTCGCTGCTGAGCTGGACCCCATTGTCATCAAGGTAATGAGCTCTATTCCAATTTCTAACTACCGCTCTAAATTTTTAAATAAAATCTATTTATTCTTTTTCTATGGCTAACTGGGGGTTTGAGATTCTTCTTTTTTCTAGGGCTCCAAATTCTTCTATAAATCTAGCGGCGAGCAATTGTGAGTCTCTAAATCCTTCCTTCTATGATAATAGTATATCACTCCATGCCATAGACTTATACCTATGTCTAACGACCATCCCAGTTTCATGCGCGGTGTTGCATACCAACGTAAGCGGACAGCATACTCGGTTTCTACATGATGTACAACCTTTTGGTTCAATATCTAATTGTTATGTGTACTTCTATACAGAGGAAATCTCCAGCAATGGCACTACCAATAAAACTGGCTATAAAGACCCCCTTGCCAATGTCGAGAATTGCAAACGCGACATTCCACTCCTCCAAGAACTAGAGACAAATATCATCAGAGTCTACGCGATCGATCCCAAGGCGGACCACACCGAGTGCATGGAAATGCTCCAGGAAGCCGGCATCTACGTGGTCGCTGACCTGTCTGAGCCCAGAACCTCGATCAACCGTGATGATCCTAAGTGGGACATCGAACTTTACAACCGCTACACTGCCGTCGTAGACGTGCTTGCCCCTTACTCAAACGTCATGGGCTTCTTCGCCGGCAACGAGGTTTCAAACAACAAGTCCAACACTGACGCTAGTGCCTTCGTCAAGGCTGCCGTTCGCGACACCAAGGCCTATATTAAGCAGAATGGTTACCGCTCCATTGGTGTCGGTTACGCTACCAACGACGATGCCGATATCCGCGATGATATGGCTGATTACTTCAACTGCGGCAGCAAAGAGGAGTCTATTGACTTCTGGGGTTACAACATCTACTCGTGGTGCGGTGACTCTAGCTTCAAAGAGTCTGGCTACGATAAGGTTGTCAAGGAGTTCTCCTCCTACTCTGTCCCCGTCTTCTTCGCTGAGTATGGCTGCAACGAAGTCCGCCCACGCAAGTTTACCGATGTCGCTGCGATGTACGGCCCTCAGATGACACCCGTCATCAGTGGAGGTATCGTGTACATGTATTTCCAAGAGGCTAACAACTACGGTAGGTCTTGAACGTTTATATATAACCCACCCCCTCCCCTCCCCCTTCATATCTAGGGAATCCAATATATTTAACAATATACCCTGAGAATAATAGGTTTGGTCGACCTCAAGGGTGACAAGGTCACACGCCGTGTTGATTTCAAGAACCTGAAGGAACAAATTACCAAGGTCGACCCCAAGGGTGTCAAGATGAGCGAGTACAAAGCCGAGTACACTGAACTCTCTGAGTGCCCCGGGACCAGCAGCGCATGGAAATCCCACCCGTCTCTCCCCCCCGTCCCCAACAAGGAACTCTGCGCCTGCATGGTCAAATCCCTCTCCTGCGTCGCCAAGAAGTCCATCGACGACGAAGATCTCGGTGACAAATTCGGCACCGTGTGCGGGTCTTGGCGAGGATGTCTGCGCCGGCATCGCCCACGATACTGAAGATGGTGTATTCGGCGCATACAGCATGTGCGACCCACGCGACCAGCTCTCGTTTGCCTATGACACCTACTACAAGCAACAAGGTCAAGCCGATAGCGCCTGTGATTTCGACGGTGCCGCGCAGCTGCAGAGTGCGAAGGAGCCATCGGGCACCTGTGATGACTTGATAAAGCAGGCTGGCCCGGATGGGAAAGGAACTGTTACCTCTGGACAACCTGGTTCGTCCCCCTCATCTGCTGCTTTTACGACTACTATTCCCGCGTTCAATATGGGATTAATTAGCGTGGGTGCTTATGTTGTCTGTGGTGTTTTGGCCGGCCTTGGAATCGTGTTGATGTAAAGAATTTCCCCCCCCTTTCATTCTTTTTTTTTTGTCTGTATTGTGCTGCGGTAGCTGGCTTGCTCTCTTTGGAATAAGAATTGCGGAGAGAATTTCTTTAAACATTACATACCTCACATACATACACATGCCTCTTCCTCCTTGCCTTTTGACCTGTGATATTTGGTGCGGTTAGCCTTTTCTTATCATTCCCTTTCATGAGTGCTCTTTTTGGAATTGCAAAGGTACTTTTGCCTCATATTTTTCCCCTCTCTCTTTCGCTTAATAGTTCCCGTTTGTATATCCCTCTTAATTGATATTTGTAGTCTTTACGTCTTACCTTTTATTGATATATTGTTATTTCGAAATTCATACGGATTAGTTGGTTACATGGTTTACACGTCTGCTGGTCCCTCTTGCTCATCCTGTCAAGTGAAAAGTAAATTTTTAAGAAAATATTATTCCATGGATTACCGTTCATGGCCTACATACAGATATAAAACAGGCATTTAGATAAATTCAGAAAGAATAACATTAAACCACCGAAAATATGGCGTATGTGGCGGCAGAAACGGTGTAACTGATGTAATCATATCAAATCAAATTTAGTGATTATCATATGCGCTGGCTTTACTATTTGCACCAATCCATCTAAACTTGCGTAGTTCCAGGGAAACTCAGGTCACTTGTGCTGTTGCTGCATAGCCATCGTATGCGCACCTGTGTCACCCGTTGAGAAGAGCAGATTAGGGTACTGATGTCTTTGCTTCTCTGCCCACCTTAAACACCCTCAAACCACTTGTGTGTCAACACCTCATGAGCAGTGATCCTCTTTGCCGGATCAAAATTCGTCATTGCACAGATAAAACTTTGAAAACCATCATCAACACTCTTGCAAAGGAAAAATAATCTGTACAGGTTGTCTTTGTTAAAACCATCCTGAATTACTTCCAACACACGAACCCAGGGATTATCATCAAGGTATTTCAAAAACTCATTCAGTGCATCTTCATCTGCAAAGTATGAGATTTGTCACTCAATTACAATAGCCAAGGGATTCACATCTTCATCCACCTCCTCTTCCCCAACAGCAAAGATGACACATTTATGCATTGCATAAATACACTATGTAATAAGTGAGAATTCAAGAGCTTATAGGCATGGAGATTTACAACAAACTGTTGGCCGCCCGGCTACGGCCGCTGCTGTGGCAACCTCTCTATCACGGGCCAGTCACTATATTAGATTCTTTGTAGATAGCTCTGTCAATAGAACTTCAACTATTCTACAAACAGTACTATCAAAAGAATTGCGCTGGTCAGATTGAATTTATACAGCTAAGAAGCACTTTCATGTTTTATTGAGTAATTACATTTAGCTTCAAATCACCTTGCATTTTATTTATATAAGATTACTACATATTTTGAATTGATTTCTCTTTTTTCTCAAATATCTCATCTCTAACATCTTATCTGTCAATTTCATGTAGTATTAAATATTATTATTATTATAAAAGTCATTGTAATAACTTTTAAATCACACTATTTTAATAAGTTAAATGCTGAAATTATGAAATCACTTATATCTCAAAGAGTCAAATTAACTGTATAAATAAACATGTGAGTTGTAAGAATAAGTACTCACAGATAATTAGACTGACTGATGAGATTATAAATTTCACATTTAATCTTATTTAATCTGATCTCATACATTTCTTAGTGTAAATCCTGCTGAGACTAAGTATTAAAAAAACATGTAAAGTGACTATTTATCAGATCTTAAAATGAGACTATAACTGAGAAAAAATAAGAAAGTGATTTTATTTAATCTTATTTAGTTTCATTCTTAGTATAAAGTTACTATTTTTAGAGATTTTAAGGTGTTTTTAAGACTATTTTTAATTTTTTAAGAAGTAATGATTTTTGATAATATATAAATGAGATTTAAAGTCATTTAAAGCAATAAAATAAATTTAAATTGAGAAGTGAAAATTTGTAAGAATAAGTTCTCACAGATAATTATTCAGGTATTTGTAGCTTGATATGATATGTACTGATAGCTACTAGCAGTATTCACAGTAGAAAGATAAATGTAGAGATTAAATATATAATAGTATTTAAGCTGAGTTATAAATAGTAGTCATAAACTTCAGTTTATATAGTTGTATATGATCAAGAGTCACTAACTCTATTAATTACATAAGAGATAGAAATAGAGATAAAGAATTCATAAAGAAGTGAGATTTCTTTATATATATAAGATTAATAATCTTAACTATAATTTTATACTAGAACTCACCTGACTATCTGAACAAGGTATTTTATTAAATGCTTGAAACAGAAGTTTGACATTCTCTAACAATAATCAAATTCATGAAGATAATATTCACAAGACTATGAATCTGACACAGATCTCTGTTAGTACTTATGAAATGCTCTGAAAAAGCTTTTGATAAAGTCACTGACAAGGTTGCTGACAAGGTCACTGATAGTAGAATTATGTGATAATCTACTCTATCAGTCTGACTAATATTAAAAAAGCTCTAGAAAAGTTATTCTGTATTATAATAACAGATTCTTATACAGAACTCTCTTAATAATATCATGAATATCTAGATGTCTTCTGATAAGATAATATTACAAATCTACTTCTCTTATAAGACTTAGAAGTAGATTATAGTATCAAGCTGAAAAAGAAGAATGATAAGAATTCTAAACTACTATGAGACTCTCTTTATAATATATTCTGAGATAAACTTCTTCTTCTTTGAAAGACACTTAATAATTTGTTGAATAAAGAATTTATATATATTAGTAACTCTTTCACTGCAGCTTCTATTCTCTTCACAAAGAAATCAGATAGAGAACTCTGATTCTGTGTAGACTATTAAGAACTGAATAGATTAATAAAGAAAGATCACTATGCTTTATCTCTTATCAATGAAACTCTAGCATGTATCAAACAAGCTCAATAATTTACAAAGCTAAATATTATAACTGCTTTTCATAAGATCTGTATTATTAAAGAAGATGAGTGACTTACAGTATTCTGAATATAATATAATCTCTTTGAATAAGTAGTCATATTTTTTGAATTGACTAATACTCTCAGTATATTTCAGAAGTATATTAACTGAGCACTCTGATATTTTCTTAATGAGTTTGTATCTGCTTATTTTAATAATATTCTTATCTTTACTGATGAGTTCAGAAAAGAATATTAAGAATATGTATGAAGAGTATTACAATAACTACAAGAAGCAGAACTACTGATAGATATAGATAAGTATGATTTTAAAGTCAAAAGTATGAAATATCTAGATTTTATCATAGAAGCTGATAAGAGAATCTGAATAAATTCTGAGAAGATCTCTGCTATTCTTGAATGAGAGGCTTCACACATGTGAAAGATGTATAAAGCTTCACTGAATTTACTAACTTCTATTAATATTTTATACAGAACTTCTCAGATATCACTAGACTACTTACAGAACTTATTAAGAAAAACTCAGTATTTTAATAATCAGCAGATGCTGAAGCAGCATTCACACAGATGAAGAAGATATTCATTAATATCTCTCTACTAATAACATTTGATTCTGACTGTGAGACAGTTGTTAAAGCTGACTTCTCTGACTATATTACAGAAGAAGCTATATTATAATATAATAATGAAGTTATCTTATAATTATATATCTTTATATCTAAGAAATTGAGTTCTGCTGAGTGCAATTATGAGATCTATAATAAGAAACTTCTCATAATAGTACACTATCTAGAAGAATGAAACTCTGAACTCTGAAGTGTCTTTAAATTTGAGATAATCACAGATTATAAGAATTTTAAGTATTTTATAATTATCTGTAAGCTTACTGGATGACAGATGTAATAATCTGAGCTATTACACTCTTTTTATTTTGTGATACAGTACTGCTCTGATAGTTAGAACTTGATGACAGATACTCTCTTATAATGAGAGAAGATATATCTGTCAATATAACAGATATCTGCTGAATGAACTGAGAGTATCAGCTCTTAAATCTGAAAATACTAGTTAATCATGATGAAACAATTCATGACACTATACACATTTATCTGATTAGAATACTTTCTCTTCAAGCTATTACTGATATTCTAACTACTTTCAAATCTTCACTGAAAGAACTGTGATGTATAACAGCTTAAACTGATGAACTTCTTCAAGCTCTTACTGAAGCAGTATAATAAGAAGCTTCTTGATTCTCTTCAGAACTATTTATAAAGACTGATATCTCAGAATATTCAATTAATGATAATAATACTCTGTAATTCTGTGAATAATGTTGAGTCTCTGAGTCTGAACTCTTATGTACTTGAATAATGCAAGAAATGCATGATTTGTATATAACTGATTATTCAGATTATAAGCAACTATATTAAATAATCTCTTGAGAATTCTACTAGTCTGAGATATTGAACAGTATGAGATACTTTATTTGAAACTGTAACTGTTATTTCTCTATCATCTTATGAAAGAATTATAGAAAAGATCTACTAAAACTACTTAATATCTCTGATAGAATCTGATAAGATGTAGTAATTGACTTTGCTGTTAATCTTCTTAAGAGTAAGAATTATAAAAATGTTCTAGTTATTGTTGACTGACTAAGTAAAGATGTAATATTAAAATTCTATAATAAGATAAATACTGAACAGATCACTGAAGCTTTCTTATAAAGTCTATTATATCAGATATATAACTTACTGAGATCTATAGTATCTGACTAAGACTGTTAATTTATAAGCACTCTTTGAACAAGAATCTGTCAAGTTCTTAAGATTATATATTATGTATCAACTGCTTATCATTCTGAGACTGATAATATATCAGAATAAATAATTCAGACTGTGAAGAATTATCTTTATAAGTTCTACAATTACTTATAAAATGATTGATATAATCTTCTTCTATATACAGAGATTATCATCAATGATCAAGATGCTGTTTTAACAGATATAAGTCTGTTCTTTCTTATATATGAA